ATATTTGGCAGCACAACTGTTGATAATTCTAATAATAAATCAGCATATTAGAATGATTTCTGAAGGATCATGTGACACTTTATACTGGAGTAATGATGATGGAAATTCAGCTTTGCATCACAGAAATAAATTATATTTTAAAGGATATTAAAATAGAAACCATTATTTTATATTGTAATAACATTTTGCAAGAATACTGTTTTTTCTGTATTTTTGATCAAATAAATGCAGCCTTGATGAGCAGAAGAGTCTTCTTCAAAAACATTACAAGTCTTACAGATCCCAAACTTTTGACCGGTAGTGTATATGCAGACATAGGCATTAACTGATTGCGTCCCTATGCAGATCTGCTGAGAGGAGCTCTGGCAGTGTTCAGGCAGGGTTAATGCCAACGCTTTGGAGTTGTCAGACAGCATGAAGTCTTGCAAAAATGAACAAAATCTCCTCCCATTCTTCTCTTTCCGAAAGGCATTCCATTTATTATGGATGCGGTTAGACTAAGAGGAGAAAAGGAAGCGAACGGTGTGTGGTTTTGCTGAAGTGCTCATTCAGCTTGCTTTGCATACAAAGGGCATTGAGCGTGATGTAAATCTGTCATGGTGCTCCCCACACAGACTCACCTCAGCGTGCCCCGCGGCTGCTGTGAAGCTCCACAGCTGTGCCAGAGGGCTTGGTATGACACGCTCAGCTCGCTGTGGAGCTGTCGCAGCACAAACAGACAGTGAAGGACAAGCTCGGTTAATGCAGTTAAGTCCTTGCTAGAACACAAGTTCACCCCCCCCAGGGCGCCGTGTTCGCTTGTGAGGACAGCCGCGGAGTTCACACAACAGATGCGCTCCTGTACCGTCTGGTAGGAGACGTGTCTGCGGTGTAGGCCTCCTCTTGTCTGCGTGTCCAGGTTAAGACCCTCCAGCTGCTGAATGAGCTGGGCCTGCTCTCCTGCATGCTCCAGACAGGCCTGCACACGGACACACCGCTCACGGTCGGGGTTAACCAAACGCAGCCAGATCTGTGCGAGCGCTGCTTACTTGATTTGACAGAGCTGTTGTTCTTTGTCAGCTCCTTCCCATTCTGCGGTGGAAAGCTGAAGGGACAAAGCGGTCTCCAGCTCGTCCTGTCTGCTTCTGAACAGCTGACATTCATTTTCATTTATTCAGAAATCTGTTAACAATGCAATTCATACCTACTGTAGGGTGATGAACATTTTTACTTTCTGAATTAAAATTCCGTTTGAAGCAAGTTCTTGAGAAGAAAATCTTTTATTATTGTGTCTCACTGCTTATTCGAAATCAAAATCATGTGGTGCGACCAACAGACTCACGTGTTTCAACAAATATGTAGGAAATATGCTGGAATTATGAGTGTGAGATATGCATTGTCTTCGATAATATCGTAGCTGTTATTTTAACAATGTGGAAGCTGACAATGAGTAATTTAGCAAAAAAACAAAAAAGCCTTGCGAATGCATGATGTGACCTACTAGAATGCAGTTAGAATGTTCCCAAAATTCAATATATTGTATACGAGTTATTGTCTTGTACTTCTATATGATATAGTTAAGCATAGTTCCTGAATTTCATGATTGCAAATATGATTTGGTTTTATACAACTGTTCAGTAAACAAATAGGTAATATTGTGAGTTACGTTTTAGACACAGTAATGTCAATATGGTCTGTATTTACACTGTTTCGGCAAAGAAAACAGTTCCAAACAAAGCCACAATGGAACTATTGTGCGTCTCTGACCAACACACAATGGTGTTTCGCTCCCGAATGAATCAGTGTTTATAACAAATTAATGTTTAGAGTCGGTCGCAGCGCCGGGATGAAAGGGAGGCATTTGGAGCTTACCTGTGCTGGCAGGGCAAGCCGAACCCACGCAGGTAAGCCATCTTTAGCTCTAATGAGAAAAGCTCCACTACAGGCCCATTAGTCCTGCCAGCCTGCCTTTGATGCTGAGCTCTCGCTCTCCCTTTGCTAAGAGAGACCCTGCAAACACGCATCCTCCCCAGATCTTCACTTTATCAATTAATCATGCCAGTCCCATCAGAAGGTAATTAAGCAGAAGCCACATCACATACGCACTTTTTCCCCTGCTCGGCCATCATTAAGTATTTATTGGAGAACGTTAGCTGCTGCTTTTCCGAGCTCCGCTGTCGCTGGCGCCCCGACCCGGGATTTTGAGGCCGTAGGCGATTGCCTCCAGGGGCTTGTCAGTTTTCCCCTCCCTCTCTTCCCGGTGTCACAGGCACAGAGGCAGAGCTTTACAAGTGGTGCCAGTGGAAATCTGTCCAAACCTTAAGTCGTCGACTCTTATTCCCCAGTGTGTGCTGCAGAGCTGCCAGTTCTTTCTTCATTAGACCGCACTGCCACGCAACCGCTGGACTGTTTATCTCCTTCTCCTGTGCAGTCACTTTCTGTTTAAAGAGCCATACGGGTGATCGTGAGAGACAGCCGTTAGTCACAAGCAATCTGGGTATGAGTGTTTACAGCACTGAGAGCTAGCTTCTGTAATGGGGTCAGCTGCTGCGTGATACGGAGAAGGGGAAGCGTCCTGTAGCGCTAAACTCTTGCAAGCGGGACGCGGGAATTAGTGGTGCTGTACTGCGACACGATAAAGCACGATAACTAGAATGATTCAGTTGTTCACTTGCTGCTACGTGTCGGAATTGCAACGGGTAATATTTGGGCAAAACTGTAATCGGTTTCCGAAGAAATCATTGTGGACTGTGTCCGAAAAGTGATGATAGAGTAGCAATATGTCACATTTGTTATACTGAGAGGTGGCTTGTTGCTTACTACGACTGAGAACACGAGACCCTGTTTAATTACCCAGAGAGGCAACACTTTATAACGAATGCTTTAATGCATGAAAAAAAAAACTTATTATAGGTTGTTTCATCTCATGAACAATCATAACAACCGTTTTAATGCATTTTAATGTTTACTTAATCGTGAGCTTTTCAGAGTGTGATGATTTATAACACACAATCAACACAATGCATCCACTTGAGTTACAATGGATTATATTTCCCATAGTTATAATGGATTATAAGTCTCATATCCAGCCATTGTTTAAGATCTGCACAATAACATCTTATCACTGTTTTTACTGTAAAATGACAAATACAAAGTCTTCATGAAAACATCCAAAAGGCTTTATAATGTGGTCAGTAACTTACTTTACTTAAAGCAGACAAAGACCACTTATAAATAATACTAATAATAAATATGAAAAGATGATTTATATCAGATATCAGATCAGACGAATGTGTAATATGGCACATTTGCTTTGAAGTATTTTTATAGTAATATCAGTTAGATTGTTTTGAGGGTACCCTTTAGAACACTGCTGAGAAGTAACTTATCAGCTAGAAGTCATTAGAGTATTAGTCGACTGTGTGCTTAATATCTGCTGACACTTTATTTTAACAGACATCAACATATTCTACCAACCCTAACCCTAAACTAAGTCTACTAATAGTTAGAGTTAGTTGACATGTAGTTAAATATTCACTATGGGTCACAGTTATCCCTCTACGATATTGCGATAACGCGCTCCTATCGCTAACACGCACTTTAACCGGTTGTGTCGACTCGACGCTGATATCTCAAAAATAACCCTGAGCTGCGGGAGGCAATTAACTGCCATGTTGGGAGAAATCACTTGAATCTTTCTAGATAGAGAACTTATGTTCAGTCTGCGCACCATGCAGGTTTTAATAGAGATTTATAGCACAAGCGAAGCTCAATTCAAAATGTTGATAATGAGGTAGGCAAGCACTGTTTTAACCCCAGTCCTTCTCATTTGGTAGGAAAAGAGGTTTAAAGAAGCTAAGAGGTCTAGGACAGAGAGATTAGCATTAGAAATCCCCAGTGCAGTTCAAGGTAAGAAGGGACTGTTAGCAAAGCACGCCTGTCATCTGACATTCACTTCCTTGCAATTACAAGCGGATCTTGACCTTTCCAATATGGCAGACCTGCAGGCGCATCACTGTAATTAGCAATCGCTGCTAATGTGCCACCTAGGTGCTCATATCTACAGTGCTGCTGATGCTAAACGTAATTCCTGCTATGAAAAACCTTCTATTAATAACACTGCCTTGACGTCGGAGCTGCGGTGTTTAGCAAGCTCCGGTTTGCTCCGCTATGGGTTATCAAGCCGTGGCTAATCTTATTTACTCAAATGAAGAGTGTGCGTGATGCATGGACACGTTTGACGGACTCGCTGCTGCTGAAGAGACAGAGCTCCTAACGAAGCCGACTGACAGATGTTTCATTAAGAGGCATGATTAAAGGTGAATTAACAACATGGCTTCATCATTAGCTGTCATCCAAGCAGATCTATCAAGCAGTCAGAGGTGCTCATTAAACAAGGAGAGCCGAAGGTTTCTCGGCTGCGCTGTGGTTTGAGTCGAGTAAAGCTCTCGGATTCTGTCGTCTTTTGCTTGAAGGATCTCCAGAACTTTCCTGTCCTTGTTCTCAGCTTTCTGCTTTTCTCTAGTACAACAAAAGAGCAAAATTAAAGGCAGTGCCAGCATACAGAAGCGATCGGCCGGCCTCAGCCATTCACACTGGAAAATCTATCTGGGATGATGCAACGGCGATGCTCGGTTAGGAGATAAAACACTGCAGGATAGACTGAATGCTGTGGGAGAAGAAACATGCATTTAAAGCACTCAGAGCGCTCTCTGAGCTTATACCGCAGAGGGTCAACAGGGAATGATGGGATATAACTCCAGTCTCCAGGTATCAGTAATTATCAGGATATCAAACCAGGAACACTACTCACTGGGGAACACAAACACTCCTTTCCTTTCAGCATCTAACCCTCTTTAGCGGGCGTTTGGGGGGAAAAGACAAAAGAATCACAATTGGGGCAAGTTTGTTTGAACAGCCGCCACTCACCTGGGATCCTCCTTTCCCTGGTTCACTTTTTCAATCTCCTCCACCCTTTCTCTCCCCGAGGACATCTGACATGATACGGCTGTCCTCAGAGAGCGCCGCTGCCTTGAAGCTCGCTGATGTTAACCGTATCCCAAGCCAAGCGTTCGCTCGCTACCAGACCGGCCAGAATTCCCAGAAGCCTGTGCGCTTCTCAGAGCCAGAGCAATTATCATGTCAATGTCCCGGGTGGCGCGGAGCTGATGTATGCACAGGCCCTCAGGTGAGCGATGCCAGTTCTTTGAGGAGCAGCTCGGTTTGTTGGTGAAGAGGTTTGTGAGGGATACGGAGAGAGCATAGCCTGCCTGCGCTTCTAGAGTCGAGGAACACTTTCGCGCAAGCAACAACTTTCTCCATGTCTCTGACCTTTCATCAGGTGGTGGAAAGAACCATTTCATATTCGCCCGAATAAATACACAAGTTACACCAAGCCACGCCACTGGCCTCAATTTCCCCCCATGTGCGGAATACTGCTTTATCTGCACCTCTTATCATCACCATCATAACTTCTGAAAGACGGCATGACAATGGCATTGCTGATTTGAACTCTTTCTCGCGTTCCCATGCCACTTTTGCAGCTCCCCACACTCTCTTCGAGGGTCATAAGTCATGTTAAATCTAGTGTATATCCCTCAAAGAGGCGTTTAGATGAGGAGAGAGGGAGGATAAGAGGGTTTAGATCATCATCTGCTCTCAGGTTCTCTCATAACTGCGTTCGACACACACCCCTGCAGAACACCGCTGCCCAAGTGCTCGCAAATCAGGGATTTCACGTGTCAGAAGCAGCATTTATTTCTAGTCTGAGACGCAAAAGCATAATGATTCAGTAGAACAAAGGGACTGAGATCTGGACTTGCCACCTGAAACACGAACTCCTCGTCTGCCTGGTAGAAGCCAACACAACAACAACATTATTAAAAGCAGCTTCCGAATGAGCAATTTCCAGTCATTACTTTGCATTTATATTCTCATATGTGAGCCTGCAGCACAAAAGCAGTGTTAAGTCGCTGGGGTATATTTGTAGCAATAGCCAACAAATACATTGTATGGGTCAAAATTATAGATGTTTCTTTTATGCCAAAAATCATTAGGACATTAAGTAAATATGATTTACTATCATGATCTATCATGTTCCATGAAGATATTTTGTACATTTCCTACCGTAAATATATCAAAACTTAATTTTCGATTAGTAATATGCATTGCTAAGAACTTCATTTGAACAACTTTAAAGATGATTTTCTCAATATTTAGATTTTTTTGCACCCTCAGATTCCAGATTTTCAAATAGTTGTATCTCAGCCAAATATTGTCCTATCCTAATAAACCATACATCAATGGAAAGCACATTTATAAAAAATGAATACAAAAATAATAATACATTTTTATGAATAAAAAAAACAAAAAACTTAATTGTGACTTTTTATCTCACAAACCTGACATTTTTTTCTCGCAATTCTGAGATTGTGAGATAAAAAGTCGCAATTACGTTTTTTGTTTTTTTATTCAGCAGCGGAAATGTGCTTCCATACGGCATATGATTTTGTTGCTTTTTTTTGGAGTTTTTTTTTGGGGGGGTCCAATCTATTAAGTCAGAAATGAAGAAAATCTTCATCATTATAACAATGAAATTCTTGAAAAGAAAACATTAAGTAGTTTGATATTATTTTTCAATTTTTAGATAGAAACTGATTAACAATTGCTTATTAATATTTTAAAACCTCTGCCAAATGTCATGTGATCTAATCAACGGGGGAAAAAACAGTAAATGATATCATAGAGTGGAACGATCCTGAAATCAAACAAAACGCATGAAACATTTCTGCTCTAACAAATGAACCAAAAAGAAATTAAATCAGAGTAATCCTATTCATAGAGGAACGACTGAAGAAAACAAGAGTAAATCTGAACTCACTCGTTGGCTGAAGAAGAAAGTGGCGTCAGAGAGACGCAAGACACGCTTACAGCTCAGTGTCTCCGGGAAAAAAGGCTCTCAAAGATTTTTAAGCTACATTACATTTAATGAGAGACATCTAAAAACTACATTTTCTGACATTAATAAAAAAAACAGAATTATACCAGATCAACTTAATATAAAATTATCTGTTAAATTATGTCCACATCATTATAAGATTAAAGTCATAAATCCCTGCAGAATCTGCTGGTGTCCAATTAGTACATGAATTTTAAACCCTATTCAAAAGTGTCTAATTAATTATTTACTAAATGGTGCAGGCAGACCTTGATAGACCATGGGCTAAACATACAAAGTAGCGTGTGCACGAGAGAGAGAGAGAGACTGTGCAAATGAAAAGAAATAGAGATCTCACGATTCCTAGTCTTCATTGTGTTTAATGACAAATTAAGCAGAGTCCTCCATCAAACAGGTGGTCTCTTCACAAGTGCTTAAGCTCACGACATCAG